ACCTTACTATAACAGGGTGAATCTTTTGGTCTGACTCAAGAGCAATAAATAGCAGGAAATAATATTATTACATTCAAGTGAAAAATTGACAATATGGTGGCACAAAGGGCTCATTAGATTTATGGAGCTGGAAGAAATATAATGTCTGTACCAACGTAATGGATTTAAAGAAACTCAATTTGATACCATCTGTGACAATCTGCATTATATATACAACAACAGCAAGGTAAATGACAGCTTGAATTTCAACTTTTCTTGCTTTATTTAATTTAAGGTAGGCCCTTAGGCTATATTTTCTGGTGCTGTGCAACAGGGTCTAGCTTTAAAAATACTGTTATTGTTAAACAAACCCATGTAGCCAATCCCTCTGCAGACCACTGAAAATAACCCTTTAATTTCATTCTAATGTTATTGCTTCAGTACTCACAGGAATGCCAGTTCTGAGACTGTTATGTTTTGAGATTTAATGTGGGGCAATTACAGCCAAAGTGTATCTGGGGAAAGTCCTAGCAGAGTGAGTCCATTTCTGCTTTGAGTGGGTACTTAATTGTTGATGTGTAAGGGGTTCAGTAGGCTCCTAAAATTTTATACACCTTTCCAGACAGCAGAATATATGGCCAGGAAGTAGCCTAACACACTGAGAAGGGAGAGCTGGACAGCAAAAAGTTGCAATGTTAACTATTCTCTGGTTGCCATTTTGTGGGTCTGTTACCCTGCTTTGTATCCTTTTTACACAGACCTAGGCTCCACATAGGAAGATGATTACACAGCATACTCTAGAGATCCTAGAGGTAGCACTTCTGTGGCTCTGCAATGTGGCTGTGGTATTTCAGACTCCTTTGGGACAACCCAGATTTTAAAATAGGTGTAAACAGATCAGGAACAGTTTTACTAAAAATGAAAAGCAGCTCTAGCTACTGCATGTGTTAACTTGTAACATATGAAGCATTTTTAAGAGCTGAGCATTTCATTCAAGGAAATAAATTTATGGACTGCAAATAAGCAAGGTGAGGAAGGCTTCTGCAGAAAAGAAAATGCAAAGTAACCTGCAGAATGGCAGGGAACCTCTAGTCTGTGAATAGAAAGTGTGACCAATACTATGTATGTGATGAATAGCACATAATCTGTCAGGAAACCAGTGAAACACCAACATCAAATGGCAAATACCTAGCAGGACTTGATGAAATAAATGGTTTTAGATTTGTAATAGATATATAAATTGCATGTGACATCCATATTGACAATACTCTTCAGTATCATATCAGAATATTTTACATGATTAAGAATAATTTATTTCTGATAAATATTTTTTTAATGCAATGTTTGAGTCATACACAAGTTTTTCTTTCTATTCTGCAACTAGCAGGAATATTATAGACTAGGAAGCCTTCCAATTCTTGAAGTATAATAACACTATACATATTACATGCACATATATGTGTGTGAGTTTTAGAAATGCCACAACATATTTACAGTTGTGTAATATCTAGATCTATGTTTTAGGCATGTGTTAGGCCTTATAATACTTCTTTGAAGCAATAAATAGGGTATCTTAATTAAAAAATATATTTTTAATTTTTATGTTATGTACAAGCATGCAATACATGCACAATTATTTTTTTTTATTCTGTTAATCTGTTCTTTTTTTGGTAGTAAGTGATTTTTTTTTTTATTTTCTTTTTTCAGTCTTAGGAATTATAGTTAAGTACTAATTTTCCTTGTTTTCTCCAGTTAACAACTCTGCATTGATCTGTCAATAGCGGAGGCTGTCAAATCCAAGATTAATAAGCAAACCTCTGCTTCCAATGCTGCAGGTTATTTTAAATTCAATGTAGAAAGAATTACATTTCTTCCCATTATATTTTCAGCCAGAACATGCCTTTTAGAAAACCAGTGTTGTGATCAAAACCATTTTGCAGTTCAGAGCAGTAACTTGTACAGCCTCTTCCAGCAGCATAGCTCATGTGCCAGCTCATATACTTGTTCATATAGGGAAAGAACGGCCACCCCTGGGCTGTTCATTTTCTAGTGATGAGCACATTAAGCATCTCTGAGTGATGCTGTCCAGAGAAAAATGAAGAACTTCTAGTTTTCATGTGCTGCTCAGCTGATTTGCACTAAACTCCAAGTCCAAATGATGGAGTAGATAGACCTAATGCTATTTTTTTTTAGAGAAGAGGCACACAGAATTGCTTCTTTTCATCCCTTTACTTCTGTAACGGTGGGAAAAGTGGTCAGGATAGTGCAAAACCATCTTACTGGGGTTCCAGATGCCTTGGCAACCCTTGGGTATCACGTCTTTATAAAATTAACAGCTCTGCTGGAAAAGTAGGAATTAAAATTATGCCTCATGACTAATCAAAATAGATTGATTTAAGGACAATTCCCCAATGCTCAGATTATACATCCTTGCAAAAGTAGGTACCTGTTCTGCTAGTAACAGATAGTGTGAAGACCAGGATACCTCTGTAGGAAAGGCAGATATTTCTCTTCACAAAGGGCAACTCAGGCAGTCTAAGCCAGCAGCCACTTCCTGTCTATTAACTGTGCAGGTAGCCAGGGTGTCACCCTAAGGGGATATTAAGAGAAACTAGCATACACTAATCAAAAAGAGCACAAAGGAAGGAGAAATTATAGTCATCAGAGGATATGTCCAAATAGCCTGTTTAATTCAGGGCTTCTGGATGCTTATCCATCCCTGAAAAGTTCACATATAGAAGGTGAATATATCTTAGACTGGGGAGATATGGGTGGCAAATCCCCTTCCTGGCCCCCCAGATTCATGACCCCAGCCATCAGGTTGTAAAACATGTTGAATACAAGCCTGCCCTGTCCTGTCTGCTGAAATCAAGCTGCCAGGCAGGCAGCAAAATGCAAACTGAGGGTTCAGGTGAGGGATGGAGAGCCTAAATCCAGCCCCACTCCAGCCCCTTGCTTTCTGGGTTACTTCTGTTTTTATTCAACAATGGCACAACCCCCAGGAGAGAAGCAAAGGCCCTAAGCACAGGATCTCTTCCAGCTGCACACCCAAACACACATCTATCCACAACAACACTTCAGGCCTCTCTAGATAGCAAGGCAGGGCTTGTCTGAGTTCCTAAATCAGAGTATAATCCTTACCAGTCTTGCTACCAAGGATTAGACAGGACACAGTTTCAGCTAATAAAAGACAGAATTACTGCACACAATTTTGTCCCTAAACCACTATAGAAACAGCCAAATACTTGTGATTCATGAACTGAACATTAATATTCAGGTTAGGTATGTATTTCAGGAATCCAAGACAGCAAGTTCAAGATTCTGGCTTGATGATTTTAAAAATGTGGTTGCAACAATTGCAAACGGATCTGTATAATCTAGACTCTTCCTTAATATCTGGCAGTACATCAAAATAGGAGTATGTGAATGACTAACTTTAGGTATGCATTACAAATTATTACCACTAATCTCAGTAACAATTAACATTAATTATCTACTCTCATGCATTTTATGACATTTACACTGTGAAAAACTATGATTAGTTGTCTTAAAGAAATGCCAGCACAGATACTTAGAGGTAAGCTTTAGGAAGCAGGTGAACCTGGTTTTGAATTAGTACTCCATTTGGGATTACATCTGTGCATTTGCTCAGCACAAAAAAAAAAAAAAGGAAAAAGAAAAAAAACCACATCACTAAAACTGTGAATAAATTCTGAATAAGAAGAGTTACAAGAAGACTTCCCTAATTCTCTGTAACTTCAGGTCACCATTTATTTCTTCATATTTCAAATCTTTGACTATTCACTAGAAATCCTGATTTGACTTCAGCACAATTTCCATCCTCACTGGTGAAAAGTGTAGGTGTGATAAGCTGTCAGCCACTTTGCCCTGCTTGTGGTGCTTGTCACATTAGCCCAGCAAGTGTGAACAGTAACCACAGTGCTCATGGTTGAGGTTTTTCTAAACAACTGGTCCTGGGAGATGAGATCAGTAGGCAGGTGTTTGTGGCAGAGAGATGTGAAGCACAGCCTTCACTGGTACATCACCAAAAATTGCGAGCAACCGACTCTCTGGACCTCTGCCCTTCAGCACCACCAAAGGAAAACTGTTTTGACAGTCAGACATTTGAAACAGGAAAGCACTTGTTTGGATAATTTCCTTGGAAAAAAAAATAAAAATCTTCATTGTGCTTTTCAGATGGAAGAAATCCATAGAGTGCTCCTATGCTTGGGGGAGATACCAGTCAATACACACAACTTCACTGCATTACTTTCCGCTTAATTGATTCAATTCTCCTTCATAGAGAAATCGATAAAAAAAAAAAGTCCCAAGATAACTGTTAAAGCACTGACATGCTGTGGCTGCTGCCTATTGAACTGAGTAATTTATTTTCTTGTTCCTTTCTACTCCCCTGCTTGTCTCCATGCATATGCTTTTTCTTCTTAAATCCAACTCCAGGGTTATGTTTTTTGGCACTGTTTACATTAAATATAAAAGTAAAGATAGATAGTTCACTCCCTCTGCCACTGCAAGAATTTACTTCCTGTACTTCTCTGCTTGATTATATTTAGAGCAAAAGGCAGCTGCCCAAGTTACTGTATTTTCAGAGCTTTCATTGAGTGTTATTTCATATACACCACACCCTTACACAGATCAGTGCTACCAGCCAGATTACAGCAAACTCACATTTTGCTAACTTTAATACATACTCTTTCACTTAGCATGCAATGCAAGTTCACATCCAAAATTATCCTCAGTAAGAAGAAACACAGTAAGGTGTTGCAAAAGCTCATGAAAAGACGGTGCCTGTAGCACCATTTGAAACTCTCACAACACCTGAATAGGGCTGGCAGGCGCGACCCACAACGTGCAGCAGACCTGTAGGCTTCCAGGACAGCAGCTGGTGGGTAGGTGGGGTACCTTAGGGCATCTAAAATGCTTCTAGATTCAGATTTAGACAACTGAGCTAGACACATCTTAAGAAAAGTAAACTTGAGCCACGCTAACACTGGCCTTGTTACCTTGACCCATTAACTTGGTTTGGGTTACACTCCATCTTGATGGTGACTCTGGCTGGAGGCTGTGATAACCAGTCTTGCTGGGGAACACGGGGACTCATCTTTGACGTCTGCCCATATTCACTGGAGGAGGAGGCTGTCATCTCTGTCTTCGCAAGGTGGGGTGATCCGTAGGCACACTCAAACAAGGACTGGTCTTCACTCACCACAGATAACGCTTCCTGCAAACCAGACAAGAGAAGTAAGCACGACCATGTTTCAGAGTAAAGGACTTGTCTATCTCATGAGAAGATGAACAGCTGGTCATCTGCTGAAATGCTCATTACTTTTTAGGCATGCTACTGCTGTGAGTGGAGGTGAGGATTCATGGTGCAAGATAAGCCATCAGTATGTGGCAGGAAGACAACCTCTCCCCTGTGGAAACCCTTCCCACCAGCGTCTGAGAAGATGCACAAACGCACACTACCAAACACTTGGGAATAGTGGCCCTAGGATAGGAGCTGGAAGGAAGGAGAGGGCAGGACAGACAGCAAAATTGAGAGCTCTGGCATCCCAGGTAGGAATGCAGAGGGCCAGATACGCCAGGGTAACAAGCAAGCTGCCATTTCTGCATTAACTGCCCCTGCAAGGAGCTACCAAAGCCAGGCCTTGCTTACTCACTGTGAGCTTCTCTTCCTTCCTCTGGGGCACAGGCCAAGTCCCTTATGGACAGGGAGCCAAGACAGCTGGGTGCATCCTCCAGTCCAGGGACCCTGCTCTTTCTGCCAGTATCAACTGCCAGCTTCAGCAGAGGTTCCTGCCACCAGCCCTGAAGAGATACCATGCCCACCATCCACCTCCCTCTCTCTCACGGCAGACCTTCTTGGCGCACCTCCTGGCTGGGCATCCCACTCTGGCACTGTGGGAAAGGCTTCCCTAGCCACCTTCCCGTGGCAGCACTGCAGTTATGGCCCTCAAGGGTGGCAGGCCTGTCAGTGGCAGGGTGGCTGCCATCATGACCATGCCAGACAGAGAAAAGGCCACCTTCTCTCCCCACCAGCATGCATTCGCATTGGCCCCAATTCCTTCCCCATGCTATCTGGAGCCAAGCTAAGGCAGTGAGGCAGTGCCTGGTCCCGGCTCAGGCAGCCCGCATGCAACTGGGAAGCTACGGGAAGGGCTGATGCTGTCAAAGGGACCCTCCTGCCTGAGCCAAGGCTCCCTAGCCATGCACCTAGTCTGGGCACCCACCCTCCTCCTGGCCCCCAGCACAACACAGGCTCAGGGGTCACCCTTCCAAAAGCAGCCTTCCAAGCAAAGCCTCCCTCTCTAGGAGCTACTTATGGTGAACATAGGACATAGGGGGTCTAAACAGACAGTAACCCAAACAGCGACTCCCTCCTCCCACCCTAGTGCTATGGCTTTGCCCTGTGATGAAGTGGAACGTGAGTGCAGCCTGACACTTCCCCCTCCACCAAATGTGGCCCCTGACAGCACTATGGTGCAAGCCCCAGCACCAGGCTGGTGGAGGAGGCTCGGTGTGCAGCACACCAGATGACAGCTGCCATGGAGGCGGCCAGCTGGCCATGGCTGAAGGTGCAGGGGCCAAGAATAGGGGTGTGAACCGAAGCCAGATTTGGGGTAGGATGATCGCGAGGCAGCTTGTGTGGGCCTGTGCTGCTGACAGCCGATGGGAGGACAATAAAACTGTGTGGCTCTGTCAGCAGAGGAGGACGTGGTGGAGAAGGGAGAGGGGAAAGAGAGTGATGGGAAGCTGGGCGTCTGCTTGCAGGCTCCTGCCTTCCTTGGCTACCAGAAAAGGATTTGCACAAGCTCCAGCAGTTGCACGCTGCCCTAAAAATCAGCAGTTGTAGTTGCTCATTTTAAGGGGGTACGCATTTATCATTCCTTTTACTTGCCTGGTTTGTGAGCCCTTGGGGCGCACTCTGTTAATATGACCTATGAAGTTTTCTCTGAAACCTCTTCTTATTACTTCTGATGAAAATTGAGATCATCCCTTAACCTCTGGATATGAGGAATGGGATCCCAAGCAGCCCTTCAAATGCCACAAGACTTGTAACTGAATCACTAACAGTAACGCTTCCTGTTACAGAGCAGGATGCAAAATTCAGGCAGCTCTCTGCACCATTTCATTAGTGCTTTTCAGACATTGTCCCAAGTGCAAAGGTCACCCACCAGGCTGTCACCATTAACTCCCCAGTTAACACCCCTGCTTTGCACGCTCTTCTGCCAGCCTGCGCCCAGCTACTGAACTACTGTCTCTTGGGTCTCTGGGGGCATGAAGAGAAGGGATGCCAGAATAACACTTCTCCTTTTTCCCATGCCTCTCAGACTCCTGTGTGTTTCTGGCCTGCTAAAAACTGTTGCTGGTGGTGGTCTGAAGCTTTTCTGGGAAAGCCTGCAGACGGCTCTTGCTTTCCAAGGAGGAGCAGGGTGAGGTAGCTGCTGGTCCCTTGTTCCCCAAAGATTGCTCCCTGGCTAAACTGCCCTGAGAGACAGCAGGAGGACTTGATGTGCTTGGGTATAAAGTAGCATGCATCATATCACAGGAACCAAAGAAAGAAAATGTTACACTAGAAGGAAAATAGAAATTTCTTTCTTAGCAGTCCATAACTGTTTTTCCAGGTGATCACAATGCATCCCATTCCTGAGAGTATTTACTGCACAGTTCCCTATTTTCTGCCCCACTGTAGAGCTAGCAAGTGAGCCAAACCCCATGAAATAAAATGTTAATTTTGGAAGAGCTAGCTCCACTATATGCATGAATGTGTGAATTATACAGGACAAAGTAGATACAAGGTTGCAAATACAACAGCCATAATGCTATTTTACTCTGTAAACCATTTACTAATAGATCTTTTCAAAACAGGCTTCAATCACTATATAATGGATATTATTTCTCATCCTCTCACACATATGTGAAACAAAGCAAATTTATTCTGGTTCCTATTAAACTTGACTCCGCTTAATGTAAGTTAATTTATGAATATTTAGGGTAAGTATAACTGTAAACAACAACAACAAAAAAGGGTTTTCTATTTATTTGCATTACTAATGACAGTATATATTGCTTGTGCTATGGATGCCTATTATGTTGCACAAACAGGTAAAGTACACACATTTTAACTTCCTCAGGAGGACAACAAATGCTGCAAATATGATCCCAATTAATAAGGGTTATGTGAATATCTGAAGACTATGACAAAAACAAGACAAGCATAAATTAACCCAAGAGACAGACTCAGACTTCATTCACATTTCAGGAGAAAAAAAAGCCTCATTATTCATGGAGAAATAATTATTAAAAAAGCTCATTTTACTCGCTGGAGTTTTGTTCTGATTCAATAGCAAACACTCATCTGTACTCCATCCTGCTAGTTATCAGTTAGTGCACGCTGACAGGTCTGTAAAAACTCTGTAGGAATAACTGATTTTCTGCCAACTTTACACACTGTTGGGTCAGTCCTTATGTGGAAGACTTATGAATGTGTGCTCTACGATAGTGAGTATCTCTGATAATTTACTCCAAGTACTTACTGATCTTTGCTGGCCAGTCTTGAAGGACAGCAGGACATGCATCACCCCTCTGCATCACCCCTCCCTTGAGCACATTACAAAAGCTGAACTGGCCATCTAAGCTTTTGCACAATTTTGAGGAGTCAGCATAACCGAAGAACATTGTCTAAACTAGAATTAGCCTTACTTCCTCTTTAACCATCTTTCCTCTCTCACATAAGTGAGCTTGAGGTTTCAATGTAGGAAACATGGAAACTATGTGTAATATCTGCTCTGCTATTCATCCTGCCAGCCAGGACTCAGACATACCAACTGTCCTGTCCTTCAAATGCAGCTAGGACCACTGATGTCAATTTATCAACAACCCCTACAGGTGATATATGTGGTCCTTGAATATTCAAGAAAACCATTTTCTGCAATAGACAGGTGGGAGCCGTGTGTCCACGGTTGGCAGCTGCTGCCTGTCTTCCTCGTAGTGATCTTAAAAGCTGAGGATTTCTGGCCTAGGCTTTTCTGAATCCAGTGACCTTGCAAGGCATGGTGATGCTGAACCATCAGACTTCATACAACCCAATACAACCTCATGTGAAATTTGTATTGTGAAAAGCATAAAAATAGCATCAAGAAGTACAAAGCATTTCTCAGCTATACAAGAATATGACATAATACGATATCCCCCAAAACAGACAGAAAATGTGCTTCAGCTGCTCCTTCCATGCATCATTTCATCTTGTCTTTCCTTGATTTCACCTTAGTAATTAAAGCCTTCAAGCCTTAAACCTACATAAGCTATGAAAGAAAAGCAATAATAGCAAACTATTTTACTGAACAGCTGACAGAAAGCAGTATGGATATTTATTTCTTAAACACAGGCACTTAAAAATGTGCTTTTTCCTATAATTCTAAATGCAAGATTTTGGACCAAATGTAATATAAATACCGTCAGCATTCACTGTTATAAAGAACAGTCACATGGTCTGGCCATATATAAACGTAGACAAAACTATCAATACTGACAATTTTTTTGGCAAGGTTTTTTTACATATGGATACCAGTTCTATTTCTAGTAAATACTTTTCATTACTCATTTGCTCTTTTTTTATCATCCATTATAATGCTGTTTCTGGAGCAGTTTGGCAACATTAAGCAGTAAGTGGGCTAAAGCAAGGTAAACATTTATAAATATTATAAAATAGATGCTTTTAATCTCACCGAGTTTTGTACCTTTATGGTAATAATTTTAGTAGTGGATGGATGATCTTGGATTTCACATGACAATAATATATTCTTATGACAGCTCAGAAATGAAGCCTTTCATTTCTAGTAGTCAGTGTCTGGACAATGTTATATGAACTAAGCATCACATACAGTGGCATCTGGGGAAGGTCTTTCATTCAAGTCAGTAGAGAGCTGTTGGTATTATCTGAGCTCAATATTGGACATGGATTTTCTTTATTTCATCTTCCCTTCTGCATGTACTCTTATGACATCACCAGCAAAACAAAAATCTTTTCCTTCATTAAGAGTTTTTTATTCTATCAATCACTTGTACTTCTTACTTGGACTTTCTGTACTAATGATAAAAAGAGCAAAATGACTTCTCTATTTGGTTTTGCCCTATACTTCACTGATAAGTAAAAATGAAAAAATAACGGACTGACAATTTGTAGAACAATAGGTACAGCAACGCCTTTAAAGTAGGCAT